TGCATGTATGTGTATATATATATATATACATATATAAAAAATTGCAACACACCTAATGGAAATTAAATCTTATTAACTAGATGATTTGTATTCGCGCTTATAAAGTAACATGATAAAAAGAAAAGGAAACGAATGAAAAAAAAACGAGAGAGAGAGATAGAGAGAGATAGAGAGAAAAAGAGAGAAAGAGAAATCTTTCATAATACGCTACACATTTGAAGAAGATATTGGTTTATCATTTATACTTGTATGTGTATACATATATATTTCATCCACTAATCTCCAATTGTTTAGCAGGTCCTGTTTTCATTAAATGTCAACATATAAGATAATGCTGGACAAGAGATATATTTGTTTAAAGTCATGGATCATCATCACATCCCCCTGTATGCTGGTAGTAGTTTATTCTGCAGTGAGCAAAGCGCGCATCTCTCTAACATTGCCTGTTCAGCTCCCAAAAATCTAAAAATAGTTTGTGGTGTTTGACGAGAAAGAGCAAATAAATAAAGGTAATGTTGTATTTAGCATTGTTATAATAGCATATATGTATATGTAGAGTATCATATATATATATATATATACATATATATGTATGTATGTATGTATGTGTATATATATATATCATAGTTATTGAGTACACATTAATCAATAAATTAATGAGTAATAAAAATAATCTTTAGCTGTCTCTTAATAACCTTGTGTTGTAGTTGTAGTAGTAGTAGTAGTAGTTGTTATAAGAAGTTTGTAAAATTGATGAAAGAAAATATTCTATGAATGAATCTGTTAGACATAAATAATGATCTATTGGCTGGTAGATATACTTCAATATTTCGTAGTTAACGCATTCGAAAGTATAATAATTTTCAACAATCATTTTCATGGAAACATGGGATACAGTAATACATATATATATATATATGTACGTATACATATATATATATATGTATACGTACATATATATATATATATGTATTTATATGTATATATGTATTTATATGTATATATATATATATGTATATATACATATATACATTAAAAAAATATATGCATCATTTTTTTTAGATATAAGATAATAAGGAAACATTAGTATTGAAGTTGAATAGTATAATAATGTAATGTATCGATATGCTATGATATGATATGATATGACATGACATGATATGATATGATATGATATATGATGTCCACACCTGTGTTTTTAATTACGATATTGTATGTATACATTTAATTCATTTTATATAACACATAACTATAACATAAGTTAAAACTAGCAGGTGCAGCAACAGGTCTGAAAGAGGAAGGAGGAAGGGAGGTCGCCAACATTTAACCATGTACATACATATATATATATATGTATACGTACATATATATATATATATGTATTACTGTATCCCATGTTTCCATGAAAATGATTGTTGAAAATTATTATACTTTCGAATGCGTTAACTACGAAATATTGAAGTATATCTACCAGCCAATAGATCATTATTTATGTCTAACAGATTCATTCATAGAATATTTTCTTTCATCAATTTTACAAACTTCTTATAACAACTACTACTACTACTACTACAACTACAACACAAGGTTATTAAGAGACAGCTAAAGATTATTTTTATTACTCATTAATTTATTGATTAATGTGTACTCAATAACTATGATATATATATATACACATACATACATACATACATATATATGTATATATATATATATATATGATACTCTACATATACATATATGCTATTATAACAATGCTAAATACAACATTACCTTTATTTATTTGCTCTTTCTCGTCAAACACCACAAACTATTTTTAGATTTTTGGGAGCTGAACAGGCAATGTTAGAGAGATGCGCGCTTTGCTCACTGCAGAATAAACTACTACCAGCATACAGGGGGATGTGATGATGATCCATGACTTTAAACAAATATATCTCTTGTCCAGCATTATCTTATATGTTGACATTTAATGAAAACAGGACCTGCTAAACAATTGGAGATTAGTGGATGAAATATATATGTATACACATACAAGTATAAATGATAAACCAATATCTTCTTCAAATGTGTAGCGTATTATGAAAGATTTCTCTTTCTCTCTTTTTCTCTCTATCTCTCTCTATCTCTCTCTCTCGTTTTTTTTTCATTCGTTTCCTTTTCTTTTTATCATGTTACTTTATAAGCGCGAATACAAATCATCTAGTTAATAAGATTTAATTTCCATTAGGTGTGTTGCAATTTTTTATATATGTATATATATATATATACACATACATGCA